TTAGGCGTGTATCATTGACATTGCAGCATGACATGAAAACATCACCCATGTGTTGCAGCATGACATGAAAACAAAACCCATGTGACAAGACATGTTTCATGAGAGTCTCAACTGAACTGTGTCATAAACACATGGTCCATGCACAGAAATGCCATGACACGCCTATACAAATGACAACCACGACTGCAAATCCATGACATGCACATTTATCTTTTGACATGGGAGATCGGTCATAGTGCAAAATCGTCACCGTGGAGCTTTGCCATCACTGGCCGTCACTTGCTCCTCTTCTTGGCGCGGCCGCCTTCCGGTGCAGGCCGCTTGGCCGGTGAAGCTGCAGCAAGAGGCTCCACTGCCTGAGACACTTTCTCCTGCCAAATCATCAGCCGCTCTCCAGTCTCGAGCTTCCTCGTGTTGCGGAGAAGAGGAAACCTCAAAGTACTGTCTCGCCCATGGGCCCAGAACACCTCCATGTTGGACTCGTCCTCCTTGCTGGTCTTCTCCACGCTGAAGTACGGGCAGAAGCTGCAATCCTTTGGATCTTCTGGCTCATCATCTCCTGGCAACTTGGAATCTGCGAGCAGGAAGAAAGAGCAAGCATCCTCCCAGTCGGTCTCAACCTTCACGCCAGCGGCAGGAACCCCCTCCCACTTGAACATGACTTTTGAAGTTGTTGGCGCCAAGATGAGCTTGTGCTTCTGGATGGGCTGTACGACCTGCAAAACCTTGCCTGGCTTCAGTTGAAGCTCAAGGGCGTGCCATTGATCCTGCTTGTACTTCTTCGAGAGGTCCTCAAGTTCCAAAGTGATCTTGGCAGCAGTCAAAGAGGCCTCGTAGTTCCAGCTCTGGCTCGTGGCGTACTGGGCAAGATCTTGCAATACCTCACGCTCAGGACGCGGAGTGAAGGTAGCCCACATCCCATTCATAATGTCCTGCGTGTTATGGCGCATGAGCTGTGTCCATGATATGGCGTGTTTTGACTTGAACTCTTGTGAAGGTCTGACATGACATGACGTGGCATGAAATTCCTGAGTGCACACTATACATGTCCATGAGAAAACGTGACCGTGAGATCATTCTCATGACATGGACATAGGAAACATGGACATGTGATTGCATGAATTGAAAGCTGAACCCTTGTGGCCTACCATTGCATGAGATAAATAAAACTCCATGAGATGAAATACGTCCTGAAAAAACAAAAAACAGTTGACTCCTTGATGTTGACTTTGAAGAAGCCTCCATCAATCGAGACTTTCACATTGTCTTCCACCACTTCCGTGATCACGGCCTCTGTCTTGTCACTCTTGCGGCGAATGTGCGATCCGACCGGGAACCCCATCTCAGCAAGCACCTTGGCCGGATCCTTGAAGGTTCCATCTTCTTTCAGCTCCCGCAGGGAGGCCTGAGAATCACTCTCTTTGACCTTGGCCTTCTCCTCAACCTGCCTCCCATCGAGAAGGGACAGGCTGGCCAGTCATGTGCCTCAAGACCAGGACAAAGTCATGGCAAATCTCATCGAACGATTCATATAGCTTTTCGTCTGGAAGACGAAGCTTGATGGCAAAGCTTGCCAACATCTGGTCAGTCAAGCCTTGGGCAATGAACACCTGTGGAGTACTCGGATCTGCGTGGTGCCTTGCCAGTGAACGAAGTTCGTTCATCAAAGCATCTGCCGTGACCACATCACGCTTGATGTCCTGACTGAACATCTTCTTGCATTCGGCCTTGCCCATCTTCTTCGACGAGTAGGCCAGCTTCACCATTGCATGTCTGAACAAGGCCAAAGAGCCAGAAGAAGCGAAACCTTTAGGCTCATGAGCCAAGACCTCCCAAAGATCTGCCCCCAACGACCTCGCCGAAGAACATCGCTGTCTCACGAAACGCTCTGTCTCCTTGAGGAGCTCACCTGTACTGCCACCACTAGCTTTGAGAACAAAGCTGTACAAAGCTGGCACTGCAGCAGCGCAAGGCGGTCGACTTTGCAAAGCCTTCCGTTTGATCTCAGCGAACGACACTGCGCCCCCTTTTGCATGTTGGGCCACGTACAAAGCATGCAGGCGGCACAACATCTGAAGTTCGTGCTCTTGTTTCTGTAAACTTGCATTGCCATACTGCTGGATCATTGGCAGGAGGTCCGGCCATTGACGGGCGACCTCCTTGTTCAGCACCTTGAACGTAATGCCGGTAGTAGCGGCTTTGTAGAAAGCCTGGTCGTGCTTCTGGACCAAGCTCAGGCTCAGTTTGCCGTCCTGGGTGAGTGCGCCTCCTTCATGCGCAACCTCCTGCACGATCAGGCGAAGTGCATAATTGGTGTGACTCCCACATAGCGTAACCGCTTTCAAGGCCATGGAATCCACCGTCCCCAAGGCACCAGCCGCCGCCAAGCAGATCTGCTGGTTGAAGTTCCGGTGCGAATCCTCAACCTCAACTGCTATGCCATTCACTTTCGAATCCACCCATCCAACGCCACTGATGTTGTCGATGAGCTCGTGAACGTCAGATGGGTTCACTCCACACCCGTCCCGGTTGGAAGGGTGGACTCCAACTGCCAGTGGGGGCAGCTTCATGGTCGTGACCATGCCGTGCTCCGTCAAAAAGTCCAGGCAGGACTGCACGGTCTTCACCAACTTCTCAGGCTCCTTGTGCAGGAGCTCTTGCATTCCATCCAGCACGCGACGAGGAACTGCCATGATGCCCGGCGCAGTGAAGGAGTTGTCAGATGTGAACATGTTTGTGAGATTCGTGAACATGTGTGAGAGGAGTGGTCAAGTGTGATTAAGTTTGTGAAGTGTGTGAACAAAGCCTATGAGATTGCCACTGGCTGGTCAAGTGTGTGAACATGTTTGTTGTGAGACTCATGCGTGTGTAAAGTCAGAGTGTTTGTCGCATGAAACTCATGTTCTGAGATTGTCACCTTCATGTGAACATGTTTGTCATGTCACCTTCATGGGTCCTCGGTAAAAATCTTGAACACCCATCTGACGGTAGAAGTGTTTGTGCTTTTCCATCATGAACATGTCGGAGTCCTCCACATGACATGTCATGTCACGCCGTGTCATGTCATGGCCGTGTCATGTCATGTCATGCCATGTCATGTCACATGGAAACAGAAAACCATGTCATGCCATGTCATGTCACATGAAAACAGGAAACCATGTCATGCCATGTCATGTCACATGAAAAAACAAAACCATGTCATGCCATGTCATGTCACATGAAAGCAGGAAACCATGTCATGTCGTGCCACGTCATGTCATGCCATGCCACATGAAAACAAGGAACCATGTCACGTCTGGCCATCTCATGTCACATGACAACATGCAGGAAACCTCATGAAAGCCATGTCAAAGCAAGAAACATTCTGAATTGATCAATCGAAAAACACCGCCGACTTCACCTATAAAAGCAACTGCAAGCGAGTGAAACTCCAAATGACGTGTTTGCAAGTGTCGTCCTGTTCAACCACAACCTCTCGACGGCTCTCGACGGGGGAGGCGTACCCTGAAGTAGGGCGACGCCAGCAGCTGCACGCCACATCTGTGTTCCTGACCTTGTCCTTGACTTGGCGGGCGGGCTTGTATGTGTGATAAGTACTTAGCTCACTTAGCGTAAGTAGTTACATATTAGATAGTAAGTAGCTTATATAGTTACAACACAAAGTAACTGATGCGTCATAGTTAGTAAGTGATGATAAGTAGTTGTCATAGAAAAGTCAATTATATCTTTACTTACAGAAGTTATATCTCAAGATAGGCTACTTCCTAAGTAGCACTAAGCAGCACATCCAAATACTAAACGCCTTGAACCTTTAAGTACATACATATCTGGATCTTTTCAGTGCAACAACCCACCTCTCGATGTGGTTGAAACCTGCCCTGTTTAATGATGTTTTAAGTAGAACGTTTTAGGATGCTTAGGGAACAATCAATCTTCACCAACCTGGTCACAGCAACTTCCAAGCAACACCCTTTTGTGAAATAAGGTCAACTCCGTGTTCCCCTACCAAGAAGTCCAAAACAACTTCTTAGTTTAAGTACTCTTCTGGCGCAGGCCTGGTCATCTGTCAAGAGAAGGAAATGGGCCAAGCGCCCCCCAGCTTCCAAGCGTCTTCGGGCTAACAGCTCATCAGCTGACCCGCCATCTCCTACAATGATCAAACAATGATCCCGGTAATTCAGCTCGTCCGTCGGCAACGGCATCTGGCCGCCTCTGGCCCCTTCGAGCCACAAAGATGAAGCTGAACGAGCTCAAACATGTGAACAAAACCTCGTGAATGGCCCTTCCACTTTGAGCCTGCGCTAGATGGAACACCTGCAATGACCTGCATACGCACCATATGGAACCTTGCAACCACTTGTCCGCCAAGCCCGACGCTGCGAGCGATCCGGAGGGCTGGAACGGTGGGTCAGACGGTCTGCACCCACCCGAAGCCAAAGGTCTATGTGTTTTTAGGGCCCGGATGTTTTTCGGATTCTTAGGGTAGAGAACTGACTCAAGTCACTTGACTCACTTGTCTCACCAAAAAGTCATACGTGACTGACAAGTGAGTGGTCTTGCGGAACTTCCGCTGACTGGCCTGACATCTCCGCGTCCCCTTGCTTGACACTCGAGAGATCCTGCACGGCTGAGGCAGGTTGGAGGACAACCAGCTGTGACTGAGGGCTCCAGACTTGTTGGAAACACAACTCACGGCTCAATGATGGGTATCACGGTATCACTATCACCGTATCATGAATATTTGCCGACCATTGCTCATGCGCATGTGCCTTGTTGAGCCAACCTCAGAAACTCATGGACAGCAAGAAAGGAATGAGCCATGCCCTCATAAGGGCAATCCAACCGGCAATCCAGCTGCCTATTTTCCCAACCTGTCACAACTGAGGCCTCACAGCGGCAACGGGTAGTCATAGAAAAATGACCAAAATGGGATAACCACTGGTATACTCCACTTGTTTTGCTCAAGGACACCGGACATGATCCTTGATGTAGGTTCAGAAAACTCTTTCTTTGTAGAGAGGCCCCCCCTCTTCTTTCCCAAGAGAGGCTCCCATCTGTAGTGCAACATCCTCATTCTTCTCGTTCGCATGTAAACATTTACACTGGAAAGAACATCACAGAATCATAGTGGAAGTTATTTGGCTGGTCTGGCCCCGATGTTGGAAGACCATCGAATCCAAATCACACACACCGGTGGTTCTTCATTCCACGAAACCGTGTTCTGTCTGCGGTCGTCTGCCGGCCGTCTCCGGGTGCTCCTCTCAGCGCCGTCTCCTCTTGGAATTGAAGACTCCTCAACAAGACCATTGGGTGTTAAATGTTGCTAAGTTGCTGAAAGACATCGACACAGACCATCTTCTCTTGCGAGACCTCATCTTCCTCTTGCTTCGTAACCCACCTCCTTCTTGTGCTCTTCCAAAGCTTTTCTAAAGTCTTGAAGCCAAATTCAAACCACCTTGCAACCAGCTTGTGAAGGGCCCACTTCCAGTTGGTGGTGTGGCCACCTCCCAAACTTCCAAAAAAACATATATGTTGGGATTCGTGACCATGCGGACGGGCTGTTCAGAGAAAACCTTAGGAAAACAACACTCTTAAAAAGATGGACCTTACCTTAGGGGAGGGGAGGACTAGGTCACCACCAAAAATTACTTGTTTGTTAATTCCATGCCTTTTGAGTTAAATTGAGACTAGACCAGCTTTCAATTGGGGGGAGTGTTATGGAGTGTTTACCTCTCTGCTGTCAGACCATGTGTTTCCTCATGCTGACACCTTTTTTGGGTCCCCTCCAACATCCTATGTCGGCAACATCTGCTTGATGGCAATTAATTTGAGACTCAGTACCCCACCTCAATTTAATTCCTAAGGCTGGCCCCATTTAAGAAGTTTCCAGGTGAAAAGCTTGGAAAAACCTCCCTTCGAGGCCGCCACCATTCCACTAAGACGTTTCAAGACCCCGCCAAAAGGGGGAAACGTGGTCTGCAGGCAGAGAGAGAGAGGGAGAAGAGAGAGAGAAGAGAGTGAGAACATATATAGGATTGTCCGATTCAGCTTCGAATTCCGAATGCAGATTCTCATTCAAATGTTCCGATTCTTTCCATGAAGACCGCCAGATGTTGTTTCATTCGACTGCCATGTTTTCTGCCAGCTTTGGACGCCGCGGACGTCGACGTAGGGGGCCGAGACGGTAGGCCCCTCACTTGGCTGATCTTAGGTTTAAGGCAGGTCTTGGATGGTGGACTGATCTTTCTGTGATCTGTGACTTTGATGACTGATGCTTGTTCATGTTTTCCAAGCCTTACAGGTGGAACTTCGCTTTTTGTGGGGCGCACTCCTTGGGTTGGGAAGGCACACCATGCTCCCGATGCTGCTCCCTCCCGGGCGCACCGGAGCGGCCGCATGGCGCCCCATGCTCGGGAGGCGGTGCTCACTGGAAGGAGATACCTCGGGCAGGCGCTGGGTGCCCTGGTCATCTGTCAGAACTTCATGAAACCAGGTGAACTGTTCAATGGCCGATTGATTCTCTTGCACGGGATGTATAGAACTTACAAATGCAACACGTGCTCTGAAAACAGTCTTAGGACGCCTTTTCAATCTTCTATTTCACTGTGCCCAGCTCATGCACAATTCCTGTGACACAAATCTGGTGCCTAGTCAGGTCAACAAGGCTTTGATGTCAACATCATCTGAGATGGACTCCCTCAGCTTCCAATTCGGAAAAAAACGGGCGTCTTTCAGGTGCGTGAGCGAGAATCATGAAACCTTAAGGTTTGGTTTATTGACTTATCTATCGATATATTCATATATATATGGGTGTATTTACTTTTAGGGCGACCCACCAACCAATTATCGCAGGGTTGTTTGTCTTTTCTTGCTCTTGTCCGAATTATCTGAAAGTCTCCCTGTTGGATGCACACCCATTCTTGTAGGTTGTTCCCGGATCTAGGCAATCTAAGTAATCCACACGGATCCACTGGGTGGTGTCGTGCTTCCACTGAGGATGATCCACTGGGTGTCGATGGGTGGGATTTTTAGCAGGGAAACTCCTTTCGATGGCCCAAACCGGAACAAGGCAACAAAGTCACACTGCTTGCGGCCCCTTCCATTCTCAAAGGCCCACACCTCAAAAAAGAAAGTTGTCTTTTGGCCAACTGCCCTGTCCTCAGCAACAATGAGTCAGCATCCAAGCAGCTTCCATCGATGATCAGCGGCCGCAAGGGCAAGATGTCCACCTGGCACCCGCCCGTTCTCCCTTGGACTTCGGCGAGAAACCCCCGGTGCCCACCAGGACGACCTGCCCCGAAAGCCGGAAGAAACCAGGACGAAACGGACACCCCAATCACACATCTCAGAACGATGGAAGTGGTGGACATCGAAAGATGCCAAGAATCCGAACTCCGACTCTTCTCCTTGATTCTACAGAATTTCGGGACGAGGAGGGAACACCGGGAGGTTTTTATCACATTTGATAAGGTGTCCTGATTCCGGACATCATGAATACCTGGACCCTTCTTTCGGGGTGTCCGGAGGTCCCTATAGGTCGTGGGCGTAGGGGCGAAACCAGCCAGGTGACCCCGACATGAAGGTGCTGGTATGTATGTTATATTCATTTCCAACGCCCATGAAACCGTCCCTGCAGCCCGTGCGACGCGAGTTACTTACGCCCCGGTCGTGTTTGCGGCGGGAACGGGAACGGCGCCTGCTTGCGACAGGACTCCGACCATGTCTGCAACCTGGGAGGGCTCGGTGATGGATCAAACGAGATGGATTCACATGGAGTGTTCATGTTGAGATGTTGTAGATAGCCCCTTCTTTCTACGCAAAAAACGAGAACAAACATGAACAACTCAATGAATTGGTCTGCCTAAATGCTATACTTTATTATACTTTTCTCTCCATGTCTTCTCATGTCAGAGCTGTTGTGGTGGTGACCAAACGCAAACATAGTTCTGGAGGGGCAGAGACCCAGAGGTCCAACCCAGACAGGATGGTCCTGGAATATATCTCTAGGCCTCCAAGTACCTTCTGAGAAGATGGTTGGGTCTAACCACCTTCTGAGGAGATGGTTGGAGCCCTAGGGTATATACATACAGAAGTCATTACGAGTCATTGGCCCACAGTTAGCGCAGCGACCGCTGGGTCACACCGATCCGCTTCCAATTGGACCAATTCGGGGAAGGAAGACCCCACCCGATTCACCGGGTGTCAAGCGGCTTGCGAGGAGGGCTTGGCTTTACCGGTTCCAGCCAGAAACAAATGACAACAAATGGATGTTTCCCCAGTCCTAACCACTTGTTATGTCCAGGATCTCAGCCATATTGGGTTCCAACCATGTGTTTCTGGTTGGGACTGGGTTTCCAGGAAATACCGATAAAAACATGAAAACATAATAACATACCTAGCACTTCCAACGGGTGCCCTGTCTGGAGACCTGTAAGTAGGGTGGGGGGTAGTCTATTGGTCACCCATTGGATGATCCTGGTACGTATTTATTCTCATCAGTCATACATTCACCAATTTAGGGGATTCACCCAGAAACCGGGAACATTCACACACCACCCCTTCTTCCGCCCAAGACCAGACTGCACCTGCTTTCCGTCCAACTCCACTAGTAGACCTTTCGAACCATAGCTCACCCGGCGCAATCAAAAACAAACCCTGCGGCCCTGAAGACACGGCAGGAATCGACACCATTCCATCTGCGCCCTGGGAACAGGCCGCGCGCTCCTTTTTGGGTTCCGACTAGCGCCAGAGATCGGCGACTCTTTCTTTGATCTGGGCGATGTCCCTCTTCAGAAGTTCTACTTCACCTGGTCGACCAGACGACGGCCACAGACGGCCGACCCGGTCCAGACCGGGACGACCGGTCCAAAGACCGACGAGGGGCGCCCTTTTTGCGTTCCTGGAAATTTGGGACCCTCCACCCAAGAACTGATGGGTGCGACCCAGACAATGAGGGAATCCAGCTCACCCCCCTGGCTATCCCAGGGAATGAGATTCCGAAATGGATCCAGCCACTCGAAAGTTCCTCAGACCTTCCTCGCAGCAGTCAGCTGCATCAACCGGGGCCTTCTTGCGAAACCCGAAGAAACCCTTGTTCTCCCCCTAAGCAAGTCAAAAATAAGTCGGCGAAGTCGTCCTTCTTCCAGGGATCCATCAATTATGAAACCTTTCAAAGTCCAAAGTTCCAACAACCGGTCTGGTCGAACAAGCCAGTCGTCCTTGCAGGTCCATGTGACCCGGTTCCATGTGGGTCTCAAACACCGGCTGTCCGGGCCCAAAACCGCGGTGCCGAAGTCCTTCGGCGTCGTCGCCGAGGAAGACGGCAAAGGGACCGGTCGGTGAGACGAAAAGGACAAAGATAAAGGAAAGAGGGACACCTGGAACCCCAAACAACCAGAAAGAAATGGATGTTTCCCCAAACAACCATTTCCTATGTAAAGGATTTCAATTGCCATATTGGAACAACCATTTGTTTCTAGTTGTTTGGGGTTCCAGGCAGGAATGAAAGCAATTGGAAATGGCTATCTGGCTGGAACGTCGTCATACGGTGCATGGGGTAAACAGGAAATGAAAGCAACCGGAGCTGCTGAGCCGAAGCCGTCCCTCCGGTTCGGTCAATTTGTCCGAAGCGCCTTGATATGGGGACGAGCGGAAGTAGCCCTTGATCTCCGCGATGCGCTTGTCCTTGGAGACCTTTTGCAGACGCAAAGAGGACCAAACAGGTCGGACCTTCTCCATCTCAAGTGAAAACCATAGCAAGGCATTACTATTAGTAGCAAGGACACTACTAGTAGCAAGGCACCTTACTACTAGTAACAAGAAGCTAGTAGGTTGGAGGCCATTACTACTCAAGAAGCTATACAAAAGTACGAGTAGCTCCTGCCAGCTCGGAATCCACCTCACGGGCCTTCGACACACACCTTCTTGACAAGTCGGAGGTTTCGAACGGTCACCGAACACGGGATGAGTCCGGGAGTCTGGTGAGACGGCACAAGAAGCCGGTGGGATGCGAAGATGCACCTCTTAGACTCATGACTCTTAGTGAGTCATTTCTTTCACTCGAGTTGCGGAGAGTCGGGGAGATGTTACATCTCTGGAGAGTCGGGATGAAAGTCAGAATCACCCTGGACCAACTGCTTGAGATGTCGAAGACTGTGCGAGATATATCTGTGCAAGACTGTACGAGATATGTCTGTGTAAGACTGTGTAAGTTTGTAGTATAGATGCACGGTTTCGGTGTCCATTCATCATCAGTTTTCGCAATTTGATGAGCCACAGACTATAGCTCCAAGAGCTGATGGTTTTGAAACACGACAGGCTTACCTCCTAAGAGAAAGGATCCTGAATTCTGAGATTTCACAGTTTAACTGCTCATTGGAGATTCAATCTATAGAGAATCTTCTTGGTGATCGAAACTACTTTTTGTGGCCCGGCCCATGTGAGGCGTGTCATCCTACTCCTGCTACTTCTTCTCCTCTTTCTACTCCGAAGGCAGTGCTACTCCTACTCTTGCTACCTCCGTGTAACCACCACCCCTACCCCCAAGAGTAGTATCGCCACCGCTCGTAGCAGTAGTTAATGCTGCTGGTACTGCTAATGCTACTACTACTATCTGCTACTATGAACTATTACATACTATTACTACTACTGCTACTACACTGCTATTTCTACTCCTGCGGCCGACTACGACTGCTGCTAAGCACCAAGCTACTTTAAAAGTTACTAAGCTGCTAGTACTGCTACTGCCACTGGTCGCACCACTGGTCGCACGTCATTGCCTCACGTCACTGAGGAGTCCCACCTTCTCTTTCCACAACCTCACCAGCTTCATCAAGCCTCGTGGTCGGGGGGGCAGGACATGCAGGGTCTGATAGGAGAACAATCGCACAGTCGCAACAATCATTACCCTCTATCCAACAAACATGGAAGTGGAACATGGCCCCTTGGAAGACGGTCTTTCCTCTACACCAACAATCTCTTGTCCACTTCCATGGTTGTTGGAGGGAGGCTAAGACAAATCAAAACATTGAGACATGGGCTGAGCGAAGTTCATTCAACAACTGAACCTGAGAGAGCAATGGCAACCCTGCCAGGAGACCACACTACAGGTCTAAGTGTTGATCAATCACCAAAGACCAACCAATGACTAGAAAGGACCAACAGGCTTTCTGTTGGCCCAGATGTGTATTGAGCAGATACATGTCATGTAATACATGACTGCTCAGTGTTCCCGCAAGTGATTCATGCTCGCTGTTCAACACGGATTGGCCTTTACCGATTCTCAACACTGCGCCAGCGGTAAAACCACTCTCGTCTCTCTCTTTCCATCGCCGCCAGCGGGGGGGTGGTCTTCGGGAGCCAAGAAATGCCACCGCTTGCTGATGACACTAGAACCCACTCAGTGCACCTGCTCTCTTGGTCAGAATCCAAGGGGTACAACCTGCAAGACCCAGAACGGATCTGCATCATGTCAATGATAAAGGTTCAGGGATAAAAACCAGCCCCAGATCCCATCGAACTTGAAGGTCTTCCAAATTCCTGCCTGAAATCCACGGATCTTGTAAATCATGAGTCTCAAGTTTCTCTTCTATCGTGGTCCCCTCTCGGGGTCGGGTGGCTCATTTCTGCCCAAGGTGCGCTTCATGTCCTTTCCACATCTATGCTTGTCTTGCGCGGGCGCCATGCCGCTGGGGCAAGAGGCTTGCCTACAGCGGCATACGTTCCATTTGGGTTCGAAAGCTTAGGCAAACGAAGTTCCGAAAGACAAAACGAACAACACCCAAATCCTCAAACATCGAATGATCCCCTTTCTTCGACTGGATCTGGCAGCGAAAGGATCCAACCACCTCCAGCTTGACCCTCCAGTCCCCGGTCCAACCGGGTCCCAAACCGCTGGCCGTCCAGCGAACGGGCCAGCTGGCCGTCGGCAGGGGGGGATCGGTCGTTACCGATTGATCGGTCAGGTGGTGAGTGTTCAAGTGAGTGAAAACGCGACGGAATGCGACCTCCGTCAACGGAGTGTGTGTCGAAAACACACAGATCTTTGGGGTGGGGGGGGGAACCCCCATTCATCCATCCGAAGGTGTGTGGAAAAGAGTTGATGCTTCGCCTCTGCAGTCTGTTGGAGGCGGATTCCACAAATCCATCCTGAGTTGGGTTCCTTTCATCCCACCTGCGGGTTTCCGTGAATCCCAACTCAAACTTACTTGCTGAAGATGTTTGCCACGGAGTCCGTGATTCCGCCACGGCATCCACGGGCCAGCCCTTGTGAACATGCTGGAAGCGATGTAAAGAATCCAAGCTGCCATTGGATGTGAAAAGGATGATCTTAATCCAAGGATCTACTTTTCCCACCTCACGTTGGGAGGGGTTGAAACCAGGCCAAGCTGCGCGAAAGGATTCCAGCGAGAGGTCTTCTTGAACCTCGGTGGTACCCAGCCGGCTGGTCACCAGGGGGGTTCCCAAGACACAGATCTTAGGACTCCGAGCTTGGAAGGCACACCCAGGGCTGGTCAGTGTGCCCCGCTTCAACACCCCTTCGGGGGGGTTACTCTCAGGAGTTGGTCCGCCCCTGCTGTGCTCGAGCCGACTTCGTTGACCTAGAGGTCTCCACTTGCAGAAGTTGGAGGGTGTCCACCACGCTTCTTGAAACCCGGATGGATGTGCTTTTTTCATATTTTGGAACCTTTCGCCCGGGGCGGATGGGTCGCAAATAAATGTTTGGTAATGAGCCCCATCTAGGTGTGCAAAAAAGCCTCCCTCAATGGGGATGAGGACAATGCATTGGGGAAGTCCTCTTCTCGTGTCCCCTGTTTGTTGGTCGTTGCGACCGTTGACAAATCCCTGCATGACCCACATGGGTGGTGATGAGGACTTCAACCAGCAAGCCTATCCACGGCATAACCCTCAACAGGAACTCCTCCACCGGCCAGGCCAAATCCTCCTCTTGCTCACTTTGCCGGAAGTTCTCCAGGATATGATTAATGTGAAAACGATTGAAAACGACCACGCTTCAACAGCAGCTTGAGCAGTAGATAGGTGAAGATACACTTGCCTGCACCACCTGCACCTCTCCGCTGGGACCGGGAGTGACATCACCCGCCGAAATCAGCCATTTTTCCGCGTAGCTGGTATGCGTTGTAGAACTTCTCGAGCCTCTTTTCACCCCGTTTGAGTTCATTGTAGTCTTTGAAGGGCTTTTCGTTCACCAGGTAAAGCGGGCAGTTGTAGTTGGAATTCAGCTTCCTTGCGTCGAGCTCGCCCACCGGACCGGTCGAGCTCGGTCCAAACAGGACGACCGGTAGAATTAACACGGTCTGCAATCCGAGGAAGCAGAATCTCTGTGTACTCTGTGCTGCAAGTGACTTTCTTCCTGCAATGACTCTTTAGTCATGGGTCATATCACGTTGGGTCTCACATACCCGGAGAAAACGCATGTTCTGTGTGCGCAGGGGGGTGCGGAGCGGGGGCACAATCTACCTCTTCTGCATTCTACATACAATCATCGTCTGCATTCTGCAGCAATGATCTCGAGACTATGCCCAAAATCCTAAAACCCAAAAAAGAAAACAATGATTTAGCAACTATGCCCACAATCCGAAAAAAAAAAAAAAAAAAAAACATGGAAACGATGTTCAACAAAGTGGTTTATACACACAGCACATGCTTATAAACAAGGCCTTCTGACCCAAGCAACCATTTGCAGTATTCCAATCTCAAACGTGCCATCTCATTCAGTCTTCAGTTCATCAATGCTAAGAAATACTAGCCGAGAATCCAAAAGCACAACACGCTAATGGTTTGCTAAATTTATGTGTATATATAAATATATACGTTTGTATGATACTAGGCTAGGTACATCACTGAATTTGTAGAACTAGAAATTACAGGTTCATCCAATCTTGCAACAGAAGCATATGCAACCACTGCAGTTGCAGAGGGAGGTATTGGAAGTGGTGGTGATGGGTACTGATACCCAGATTGATGGGTTTATAGATGTTTTAGCATTGAAAGCAGGCACAGCAACAACTGACACGAAAACAGAAGTTGACACAACTGCAAAAGCAAATCAAGCAACAATATATACAAAACTCAAGACGACTGGTCACTAGGACTAAAAGTCAACCAAGCAAGTACCTACATTAAGAAAAGAAATAGATACGTAGGCTTGAAAGCCAATAGTGCAGATGTGTTTGTACACAAAAGTAAATACATCGTTGGCATTGGAAACACATTTAGTAAATCCCACATTCACTGCACATGCACCTGTTAATTCAATTGTAGATGTTCTAGCGGTAGATACGGTGGGATTAACTGCAAACGCTGTGAGCACACATGCATTTCATGCAACAAACCTGTATTGCTGATGCTACATGGCCACACAATACTACTAACCAATACATGAAATAATATTAAGTTAACTCAATTCTTGATTTGAAGCAGGAGTTACAGTGCAAGGTAGTTTCAAATCAAAACATAGATACATTGAACAACACTGATTTAGTATTTCAATAAATGGAGTTTAATCTTTTTGGATAGTACTATGAATCCTTTATGGTGCTCACAGTGATGGTGTGAATTCATGAGATACAAACATGCTACATCAGTATTAGCTATTGTATCAGGCATAGTTTATTCAGGTTGCTAAGAATTCAAACATCATAAATAATGGAACACATGAACCAACTGTTGATGGTGATTCTTATTGGGGTGGTGCTGTTGAAGTTTTAGGTGAGGCTACTTTACAAGATAGTGCCAAATTCCAATGGGACCAACATTAGATTAGAACAGAACGATGGAGCAAACAGGGGATTGAGATTTTACAGTGATGATGTTTGGCCGTATATTTTAGGGAACCCCTTGACAGAGAATAGCACAGCCTTATTACCAGAACCGGATTAACTCTGCATGCAACATTGCAATACAAACCTCATGTGGTGCTCTTGAAGGAAACGCACATGACAATTTTGACCATTAAGATGATATCTTGAGCAGGAATGGTGAGGAGTTCATGGATTTACAACTGCTGGATTATAGACCAGCTGAATGGTTTAAAGGTGGTGAACCGAGTCACGGCACATGTATATATATATATATGTACAGTATACGTATATACTATACTTTGTGGTGTGTGGAAGCATGTGCGCAAATGAATAATAGTCATATATGTAAGATACATATGGGCGCTGATGTAGACATAAGCAACTTTGAGTTCAATACGCCTCACAACACTCCCCCAGAGGGGCTCCTAATCAGCGCCCGCCAATGCGTGTGTATATATATATATATATGAACAAACATGAAGATGGTTCAAGATCATCACACTCCAAGGTGGTTTCTTGGTAGCACTCCTCCTTCAGCAAGATCCACTGATCCACTGTGCTATTCTTTCAACCAAACCCTTGCGAAGCTACATCCATCATTCCTCTCAAACCTAGAGACAGTCCATCCACCACCGGCACTCCTTGAGTCAACCTGTCCACATCCAGCTTACCCGCCATGGAGGGCTCACTCCAAGCATCAGCGCTAGCGAACAGTCCAACAAATAGCGCCCAGAATACCAGCCGCCACTTTCCTCGCTTTTAGGGGGACTCTGATCTGGTCACATGCCTCGAAAAAGTTGCCTCATAAAAAAAACCGCGCCCAAAGCTTTTTGCTTTGGGGTCCAAGTAACACTATGGCTCACTCCGATCGACTCCCTATTTCCCCTCGCAAAAAGGCAGCTGCAACAGCAAAAACTCAGCTGCCATATCCAAGAAAGAACTTGCTCTCCTGGACACTTCTCTTTTGTCGATGGACATGTCACGATACAAAATAGATCCACAAATTGGAGCATGCGATGTTCTTTCACGGCCCCTGGCCGCCCCAAAAACATCGACCCAAAGCCAGTCTTTGTCAACCCCAGAGCTGCCGAATAAAAAAAAAGAGGACCCAGGAAACTGAATGAAACCTCTGGGGATGGAGGCAGAGGGTAGGGGGTCACCTACCAGGATCGTTTGGAGGTCCAGACAAGTAGTGGAGGGTAGTCGAGCCAGGTGACCAATTGGCTCATCCAGGTGCCAAGGCGCCACCTCCTCGTGTTCCGTCGAAGCACACCTCCTCTGAAAGCAGGGATGAGCACCTCCCTCGACCCATGTATAAAGCTTGGACATGAAGGCAAAATTAACATGAATGGTTGGTTCAGCCCAAACCTTTCCCGGAAGCACCATGTGCGCGTATTAAAGCGGTCCATGGCTCGCTTTGGTATGCACCCGTGCCCGCTAACGTGAGCATCACGTCTCGCGCTTCCTCCATGAAGTCTTGATCCTCAAGGCACATTTGGCCGAGAAAAAAAAAGAAACACCTCTCGCCTCTCTCTTAAATATCGGCCAACGTGACACTCTGAGGATAACCAAACCGGCAAACGTGACAGTCAGTAAGAATTACCGAAGAACTTGCGTACTTGCTCAACCGACTAGACTTGGACGGGGCGGCTAGACTTGGCCGTGAAAAACTCGGCCACGGAGGGAGGTTCCGAAAATGGCCACACACCCCTTCGGTCACCCCTCTTCGGTCTCTCCCATGAATTGAATCCTTCGAAAGTATATGCACTCCCTGAAATAATCGGAATACACTCCCTGGAACTAACATGGAAGTGGAGAATGGCCCCTTGGAAGACCATTTTCCACCACAAACAGGTGGTTTTCCACTTCCATGTTAGTTCCAGAGAGTGTAGTTATATCGGAACAATCCATGGCAGTGAATGGAAGTTCACCACCTGTTCGGTACTCGGAAGATGGTCTGGTCGTCCTACTTGGGGAGAGCTCTGGGAACACTTGGGTGTCCTAGTATGTCCTAGTTGGTGGAAGCCCTCAGGTTGAGACAGATTCTGACTCCAATGTCAACCAAAAGGCATTGGAGCCCAGACACTTGCGAGGTCACCAAATCAAAGAAAGGTTCTTGCAGAACCCCCAGCTGGTTCTGATGGATGTCCAATGGGCCTCCAACATCTCTTGGATGTGAACTCACGGTCGGGTTCACCCTCGAAACGGCGCTGAGACTGCGCTGCTTTTCTTCGTTCGGCTTCGGCTGTCGAAATCGACGTGAAGTGATCCCTCGCTGCCCTGGAAATCCAAATGCCTCACTTGACCCTCTTTGAAGTGGTGGATCATGACTGCGATCGATGCAATAAGCCTATGAGGCCCAGGAGATGGTCGTCAAGTCACCAGCATCAGGTGGTTATACCCGTCCACCACGCAGCAGGTGCTGATGGGGCCTCCCTGCGTCGGATGGGGCAGACACGAACAACACTTGGACAATCAGAGAATAGGCAAAAATAAACTCTTCTGGCAAGCAAGATAGTCCTCTCGGGCCAGGGCATGTGGATCTCTCCAAATCTGACATAAGGTCATATAAGGTCTACATAATAATGTGGATGGTGATAAGCCAATTCCACTTGACACACATCTTGCAAGCCCCCTGATTTCAATGCGGCAAAAGCTGTTTTTTGCTGCGCCCTGTGCTTTTGTTTGACATTGTGCTTCTCAGCAGGCTCAAATCCATGTCATGCGTCGCTTGTCCTTTTCTGCGTGTGCTTCCCTTGCTTTTATGTTACTTTAACGGTTGTCTCGTTCCATCGCTGCTTTCGTTTTACTTCTTGTTGAACGCCAGCCGTTGACTGTTGGTATCTTGACTCTTTACTCGATTTGTCGACTCACGTAAAAGATTCTAGAGCTTTGACTGTATTGAGCTTTTGACAGAAGGGTTGGGTCGTTGGTGGGAGTCGGTTTTGTCCAATTTGTTGATCGTCACAACGACGTCATGACCGCTTCATTGTATGTTGAATCGTGGGCACTTCACTGGTGGTGCGCCATGGTATTGCGCACCTGCCTGGAGGAAGCCGGTGCATTCAAATGGTGAGCTCCGTCTTGATACGGCCGGCTTCTTCCGTATCCACGTGCTTCTCCGTATCGGCGGGACAAGACCAATGGTGAAAAGCTCAGCCGGTGGACAAGCTTCACACATGTTTGAAGCTTTAAAGAGAGATGTGTGAGGAGAAAATGCAAGTTGAAGGCACACAAGCAGCAACAAACATTTGCAGTTCTCTGGAATTTTGTGGCCCCAACAAGTACCTTTTTTGGAGGTCTCCAAATGAAGCACATGGCACTTTGTATCATATCAATAACCTGGGAATTGCCACTTTCAAAGCACTGCTCAAAAGATGTCAAAAAGACATTTAAACAAGGACAACAGGACTACTTTTCTCAATGAGCACACGATGGGAACCTTTAAGAATGAGCTACTCGTGCTGTTGGTGTTCTACTTCGAAACCATCTTGATTTTGAGAGTAGATCCCAAACATACCAACCTCCATGAAGAACATGGCCTCCCCCCAGCCCGAACTGCATGGCCTTCTGTTCCTCCACACCAAGCAGTTCTTTGCGAATGCCAGCCACCAAGCCAATGGTGCCCAATACGATGGAGCTCAACAAGAAACCTGCAGACCATGCAGACCGGCCATGCAGAAGATGCACGGGTTCATAGATAGGGGACGGAACCAAAATGAATTGCCGTCACCCGAGCCTGGATCATGATGCAAGTATGCTATCGGCTATCAGCTTGAAAAGAACACAGCCATCATCAAAAAAAACGACTTTTCTTATTGAGTCTAATTATAGTCCAATATAGCTCAAGATGCTCAACACCCAAAACAGCGTGAAACAGCCACATATAGAAAAAAAGAAACGACACGGGAAACAAATAACTTTAGCTAGCTCCCAAGCCGTCAAGCCGTGGGAAAATCAAGGTTCACCTTCTCCCCCTTCCTTAGTGGGGAAAGCAATTCCCCCAAAAATGGTTGATCCACGACTTTTCTTGAGCCACTTATGGCGCGATACACACCGCAGTTTGCCTACTTCCATTGACATAGCGGTTGATTCATCGAATTTTGCATACCCTGGGTTTCGGTGGCCTTTGCTTGCGATCTGAACAAATGAGAAAGACCCTCCTCTTGTCAAACGACGAGACTTTTCGGGTGAACCCCCGGGGTGTGCCGACAGAAAGCCAAGCCAACCGCGTGTCATCCACCTCGTCTCGGTGACACCACGGGATGTCCGAAGCCCGAACCAGTTCTGTGGTCGATCTGGGTGACCCAAGTGAACCAGTTCAATGCCGACAAGAAGCGCATCGCCCCGGACAGCGCAGAGTTCGGACAATGCTGATGCAGGTTGGCAAACCTGACAGGTCATGGTCTTGACTGAGGCATGTGAGGCGTACGGATCTTTGTCAAATGAACTGAACCAGGATCAAAAACATGAATCACCATACAATATAATCGTTTCTCCAAAATGCAGTGGCAAATCACCACTGTGTTGGTGCCTGGGGTAAATGAGGTGTTCTCGAAGGAAACATAATAGTGCACAATCGTTTCCACCAACTGTCAACAAAAGAAGTACTGAAAAAATACGAACAATGAACAATGTGTTACAACGAAAAAGGGTAGTTGATGGCCCCTCTTCATGGAATGGAAACCCCAAATCGGAGGCCATCCACCCTCAGCATCTCTCGGCCCGAAAACTCTTCATCTGAGCGCCCCTGTTTGTCTAGGTACAAACTAATCCATCCAACAACTCGAAATCAATGGGGCAACACTCAATGAACTATCGGATATGTAATTAATGATCCCGGCAAGAGACACCAACAAGACACTTTCTTTTTGCGGCACCTGCCGCGAAAAACGCGCCAGCGATAAACGCGCGAAGCCTGGCCACGAGTCCCTGCCTTGCTCTTGCCACAAGAACCCTATTAGTTGCGAACGACCTGTTTGGGGAATTAACAAACGCAAAGGTGTCAGGACATTTCATCTGCCAAGCAACTAGCAAGAGGTCTAAGGCCGAGTCTGAAGAGCTCGGGAGCCAGTGGCTGCGTGGTGTACTGCTTTGGCAGGCCGGAAAAAAAAATTCAGAATGAAACAAGGTTTGCTCACATATGAGTTGTGGTTGGTTTTAATGGACTCGGACCAAATCTATCGTCATATGCCATACGAACCTTTTGGCGACAGTCATTGAAATAGCCCCTGCAGCCCACTGGCTAAAAGGACACGAAAGGCGAAGAAGGGGACCCCAAACCATAGATTTGGTCAACCTCATACACCTGTTGAAACGTCCTGATTGCAGAAAAACCGTGGATGTGCCTCGCAAATTCAAAACACGTGAATTAATTCCATCCCCGGATGGGAGGCAAACAGCCCCAAAAAAGGTTTGATTCATTTTTTGAAAAACAAGAAAACACACACACGAAAACTGTCCACCGCTGTGATTTCAAAAGGAGATAAAGTTTAGGTGATGTCCAGGGCTGCGACCCCATGTCTTGCATGATGTTTGATGTCACATGTCTTGCATTCCTTTTGCTGGGACTTGAAACATACCGAACGACCGACCGAAGGGCCCCTATTTAGCACCCCATACTGCTGGCAGCTCCTCATGCTCCTCCACCCTCCACCCTGTCGACCTGTCCCACCTACAGCCTTTCTTCAGGATCCGCTGGAATATTGTCCATGACTTCCACATTTCACACACGGCGACCCGGCAATGGCCCAGCTTGGAGCAGGCGCCGCAGGCACAGGTGCTCTCACTTAAAATCTGTGCATTTTGGCAGCTTCCTGCATGTGAAAATACATTTCGGAGTATTGTTCTTTGATCTTGGCGATGTCCTTCTTCAGGCGTTCCACTTCATCTGCGTGCGCGAGTCACAGTCACAACAGCTACGGCAGTCACAGTCCACAGTCTCCCCTAGTGACACACTTACTTTCACTTTCACCTGCGCACAGTGCAACAAAGCGCGCCTTGGCCGTCAGTTCATGAATTAGATTCACGCTCGCGGCTCAAAGTCAAGGCCGATGATTTTGGAACTGTCGACAAGTTCACGAATCCATCCCTCAACATGATCAAGGTTTCTGACCTGACAACAAGCCAGGTTCTGTGCCCACTTTGAAAAGAGAGCCGCGTTGAACTGGCAAATGCTGCCTTCCTTAGGAAGAGCAGTGGTGCGGCTTCTTTTCTCCAAATCTCTTGCCATCTCCGGGTCAGCTCCAGTGACCATTAATGTAATTGGTTTTCGACTCTTGGCTGCGAAAAACCCCTGCTGCAACGAGGGCAAATTCAACAGACGTGTCGGTAGGAACCATCTGATCACTTAGACCTTGGGTCTTCAGGATGTTCTAAAAGGCAAACGCCCCAGACAATGCCTGCACAAGCAAGATCCGTAAGGAAACCCCATGAGGCATTGCAAGAACTCTTTTTGTGCCAAACCTGGCAGGCACCACACCCGTCGCTTCTGACGCTTGTCTAGGTGGGCCAACCGTGACACCGGCCACTGAGCCGTCGGCAGTCGGCACAGAGCGCTTGCCATTGCGCTGCGCTGGGTCGAGGAGCTCGCAACACCACCACATCGACCGATAGTGAAATGAAGATAGAGAGCTCTCCAGCGCAACAAGCTGCTCTATGGCGGATTGGAAGTCGCCAGAACGCCTCCTCCCAAAAAAACAAAATCAGCTGTTTAAAGGGATGTAGTCACATCGGAAAGGTGTGGCAGAGTGGATCTGCGCAGATTCTCAGGACTCTTCATCCCGCCCTGCCAGGTGCTGCTGGGTCTGAGGGAGCAGCGATTTCTGTGTCTCACCGAAGAGCGCATCAACCTCGGTCAGAGCCCCAGTCAGACGAGGGTCGGCCGAGCAGCGTAGTTTAGGCGGAAGAGCCTGCGACAACTGCTCGTTGGCACACCTGCCATAACCTCTTGGCCAGCACTTGAGCGAAGCCTAAGTCTTCAACATCAACATCAAAATGGCGGAGGCAACCGGTGAGGTATTGAAAAAGCTGGTGAGGGCTCTAGTTGCCCCACAGCATCGGTGTAGTGCCAAGGTTCGTGTGGGTGACAATCTCTGTCGCTCCCCACTGGGTTGGCCTCTCCTTGAAGTCGCTGATTCCACACGCGCGCGTGACACCAGGCAACACGAGCTGCTGTATCACAGGCGAGCGACAAGGGCAAGGCGGTGCGGATTTTCTTTGCAGCACACGGGACACTGTGTGCCGAGTGCAACACTGCCACGCATGGTCTGGCACCAATGTTTTTGATTGGCAAGTAAAAGCCCCATGCTTTCCTGGTGGAAAACGAGCGAACACGTAGCAGGCACAAGTGCGTGGTGGCGTCATCTGGATAAGCCAGTTGCGCCGATTCATGGTATTCTTGACTGGGCTTCCACCAGCTCGGCCGTTCTTTGAGGAAGGGCAGTTTGAGCCAGGTCGAAAAAGTGTTGACCAAATGCTGAAAGTGCCTGGCTCTTTCTGCGTGCAGCAATGCCTGTGGCTCAGGTAAAGGCAAGGCGAGCAAAATATCGTCGTGCGCGATGTGGAAGGATGCCGCACGCATCCTTTTTGGCAACGTCCACCAATATATACTCCAGCAGCTGGCTTCAAAAGTCTGGACGCTGGCTCAGGGCAGGCCATGCGCCCGCTCACCACGTGAGGGTGGAGAGAACTGTGTTGCTTGAAAAACATGTCGCCTATAGCAGGGAGTGCAAATTTCTCATTTTGCAGAACTGCTTTGGCTCCTCGCCAGAAGGCTGCTTTGTTCTAAGTGACTCGCGCATGGATCTCTGCTGTCATGGTGCCCGGTGCTTGTATCTGCTAGTCAAAGGAACTTGAACTACTTCGTTCTCTCCAAGCGTGTAAAAAGGCAGGTATTACACTTAAACACTGGATGCGTTGATCCTTTGAAGGCAGACAGCTGACCATGAAAAACAACAGTTCAATCCTTTGAAGGATTTGGCAGAGCTTGTCATCACACCAAAGCAGTAGATTGATCCTTTGAAGGAATCAACATTTTCCAAGAAACAATAGTCTGTGGCCACTTGCACGGCCTGGAAAATTGCGCGCAGTACTTGTCGGTGGGCAAACTCAATCGCTGCACGATGGAAGGGACATCCTAGTCGCTTGCAGTTGCTCCTACCGAGATTTCGCGAAGCACTGTGGTCGCAAAAATCAAGGACTGCCGCACCGTTCACTTGGCGCTTTGTGGTGGCTGCAAAATGCCTGATACAGATGACTGACAGTCCGGGCTTGCCGGCCATCTGTAGCGCTTCAGGAGCATGCATGGGTCCTCATGGACGAGCGAATGATTTTTCCCACGCTTGCCATCAAAAGGATGCCACGAAATTTGTTTTGGGTCCTTGGCCTCAGTGAAATGAACTGCCCACCTTTACACTGTATAGGCTCTTCCAGGCACGCAGCGAACTTGAGAGCAAGTGGCCAGAGAAGAAGGGCAGCTAGTCGTAAATGCGCTCGGAAAACTTCATTTGGCGCGCTCTGTGATCTAGAGCGGCGTCTGTCTCACTGATGAGGCGCCCGCGTCAGAAAGCGTCGATCTCGGTGAAGAAGGCCCCCAGCCCCAGGTGTTCGGAAGGTGTGGAGGTAGGCGACGAAGAGGTGAGGAAGCCGAGGATCGGGAAACGTGGTTTGACCTCGTAGTTCAGCAGAAAGCTGCTCCGGTCCGCGAGTCAAGAGGCGCATCAACCCAAAGGTGGTGAGGAGCTCCTGTGTGTAATAGAGACCCGCGCTGACTGCTTGCACCGCTTGAGATGGAGGTATTAATCAAGTCCGACATGAGGCGAGTCAAGATTGTCCAAAATGTAGAAGTGGTAATCGAAAAAAGGTATCAAAGAAGGGCAAGACATGCCTGGCTTGATCAGAAGTGTGGCGGGCTCACAATCGTACTTTAGTGGATTGAAATATTTATCCTCATCGTTTTTGCCTGCGTCGTGTCTTGAATGCTATTTGGCTCAAATGTAGAAGTCTTATCCTACTCTACTCCAAAGGCTGTTCCGGCTTCGTTTCCAAAGGCTGTTTCAGCCTCAGGTTGTAATTGTATTGTAGGCTGTTTCGGCTTCAAGTCATGCTGCTGAAATCGGCAGCAGCGAAATGGGAGCGTCTACTTTTGCAGCGGCAGAGGCGTTTCCTTTGGATCCGAAGGACGCTTCTGCAGGGTGATGACTACAAGCGCGCAAGTTGCCATGGGTGTAGGTTGCAAAGCATGCTTTTTTGCGGTTGCAACTCGAGCTTCGCGTCTTATGGGGTTAAAACGCAAGCAGGACTGCAAGTCGTGAACCTTGGAAAGGCATGCCAACAATAAGCACCACAAAGCTGCAGTGGAAAAGTATTTGCTGGCGACGGTATCCAGACAGTGTCAGACGAGTCGAAACTGGTCTGCCACAGATCCAGCTTGGGCAGCTTCTTCCATTGACTGATGGTCAAGCAACAGTTTTGGGTAGCAGTCGGGCGATTAGCTTTCTTGAGGACGTTCCTGGGCAGTTTGGAGACTTCACCTGCAGTCCGAGTTACGGGAGCAATGGTTTGACGACGTGTGCAAGAAAATTGCGAATGCACAAGTGAACCACAATTTGGTTCTCGGTGAGTTGGAATTCTAGGGCTGCTTTGGATCGGCTGCTTCGGCCAGGACACTCGGATTCTCTGCTGAAGACCTTCGTGGCGCGGAGGGGAACAAGGATAATGACGCATTTTTTCACAAGGCTTACGGGAAATTTTGTGTGTAACTTGGGTCGTCCCCCAACTGTGTAAGAGGGCGACGAGGAGAGGACGAAAGAGAAATTCCGTCAAGCTGTCGACGTGTTCTTTGGCTTTGTCCTCTCTGCGTCCTCTCCTTAGGAGACTTGGGGTCGTCCCCGGATTGTGTAAGGAGAGGACGGTTTGTCCTCTCCTTACACAGAAAATTTCCCACTCACTCCTTCGTCGTATTTGCCACCACAGCATGGCGGAAGCCTTCTTGGCAGAGATTTTGCATGGCTACTTCATAAAGAGTGTTGTGGACATGTCGCCAGCCGACGGCAAGCTAGCCTTTGTTTGCCTCAGGCAACAAATCGGCTAGCGCGGTGTAACCTACAGCGATGCACGCTCCAAAGCCCTTGAGAACAGACTTTTCTCTTCTGCCTACACAGCTGCGGCCAAAGGGCAAACCAGCGAAGGTGATACCCAGCCTACAGGGCCTACACTGTTACACCCAAGGCAGAGCCAAAACCGAAGGGAAAATCGAAAGCAAAGGGCAAACCGAAGCCTAAGCCCAAGACTGCTCCCAAAGCCAAGCCAAAAGGCGGAAACGTCCAAGAGGAGAAACTGCGGCAGAAGGGGAAGAAGCCCACGAGGAGGCTGAGTCTGAGAAAGGTGAGCCGGAAAATGGTGAGGATGACAACGTGGGATCCCCTGGATACAATTAAAATAAACAGCTTTGGCTGTTTAGCAGCTGCTTCGGCTGTCTAGCAGCTGCTTCGGCCGCAGTGCGTGGACCTGCTCCCTCTTTTGGCTGCTTTGGCTAAGTTTTGCTGAGGGTATATAGTGTGCTTGATGGAGTCAATGCGGACCGGCAGTAAAGCGAGGGATGCGGCCTGGCTGCTTTTGCTATTTAAACGTATCTAAATGATGGTGTTGTATGGGCCATTTGGAGAACATGCTGGTTTGTGGAAAATGTTTTATCTAATGGACACACTGACACACTGCCCTGCATGCCAAAGAACAACTAATAAGATTCAGATATTCTATTTTAATATTTGTTCTTCTCTCTTGTGATATTTTTTCGACCACTGGCCGCGTAATAGTTTGGCGCTAAAAACAACATGCCTCTAAGCTGGCCTAAGAAGAGTAAGTTCCAGGGGACCGTGCACATGAAGAAGTTCTCGGTGTAGGACCGGATAGATTGAGCGATGGAGGAGACCCCATCAACAGGAAGGAGGCCAGCCGGAAGAGAAGGCGCGGAAGGAGGTGCACTATAAGCCAGGCACACTCGGTAAACGAAGTGCACGGTCTGAATATAGCCTGTGCGACAAAAGCTTCCTTTGTAAACCATGTAAGGTGGTCTGAGCATGCTGAAATGTCGAGGTCTGAAGGCCCAAAGCAATGAGGCCCGGAGCCGAAAAGAACATCGAGAGCAAAGTTTCATCCGACCCACAAGACTCACAGCACGCATGTCTGCAGAGCTCAAAACCGATGCAATGGCCAGCGACTTGTTCTAGTGGCACAGGGGCCCAAAAGGAAGTAAGTTGTGATCACGGCAGGTACGTCATCAGGCGTCCCTGATGATATCCTAGCAGCGTATGAGGAGCTTCGTTGGATGGAGCCTCATACGTCCTCTCCATCAAAAGAAAAGGCCGACAGGTTCGCTATGATTCCAAGAGATACGCACACACTGCCGGCGCAAGGACCCTGATGCAATCTGGCGCGCCCGCAGGCGCGATCCTGCGAACCCGCGCTCCCAACGCCGGTCTCGATCTTCGGACGCGCGTCCCAAACGTCTTCGTCGATCTCCGATGGCCCCCGCCCCAGTGGTCTTTGAGAGTTTCGTCCTGGATGAGAATGGGTTCTAGGCCTTGCGATCCTTAAGGTTTTTGGGATTGGTCTCAGCCGCCCGCAAAAAGCGAGTGGGCAATCTCAAGTGAGGGTGCAACATCTGTACAGAGCAAGACGTGCTGCAACATCAGTTCACTTTAGCCACCAACTCCTCGCATCTTCTATGTTCCAAAAAAGGAGACCCTTAACTGACGGAATACGCAAAGGATTTTGTAGGATTACATAAAGCGTGGGCGAAGCAGGTTGTAGTGTATGCAGTCCCCATGTCATGAGGATATGATCATGCAACTGACCCGGCTCGGCCGGCGCTGCAAAAAACGGGGAACGGAACGGCGGAACGGCCTTGGAACAGGGGATTGTTGCTATGGACGTTGATCTCCGCCAAGCGCTTATCCTTCGAGACCTGGAACGCCGGGCTAAACTGCCAGAAATCAATCCCTGAAGGGACCCTCAGAAGGATAACCGAAACTATGGCTTTTGGAAGGACCGGCGGATGGGTCCCGGTCGTTTTCGGTGATGATTTGGTCATTTTTCAGAATCTCGTGGGGGTTCTGAACAGGCTGCGTGACCTTTCTCTGTACGGGTCAACAATCTCCAAGAATAGAAATCATCAGCTTGATTCAAAACCTTGGTTTCAAGAGAAGCTGATGCTCGTTTGTATATAGAGCATGAAGAGAAAGACTCGAAGAATTTCACTTCTCTTCATTCCTGAAGTCTGGTTTTTTGAACTGTGACAACATCTGTTTGATATATGAACATGCAAACATACAGGATGCTTATCTCCGGCTTATCTCCGCCAGTCCAAAAATCATGAGACTGGCGAGCAGGACGCCAATAGGTGCAGGGAACTCTCACAACAAGGGCAGTTCGCCTGCATCTCCAATCAGGCTGGTTTGAGCCACGGCGATGTGTTTTCGGCCACTACTCCTACCACTCCTGCAAGTCAGACGTAGAAGTAGGAGGAGGAATTGGTGGTGAAGGTAGTAGAAGTAGTAGCCGTAGGAGTAGTAGTCGAAGTAGTAGCCGTAGGAGTAGTAGTCGTCGTCGTAGTATTAAGTAGAAGTAGAAGTAGTAGTAGTAATGATAGAAGTAGAAGTAGGAGTAGTAGTAGTAGTAGTAGTAGTAGTAGTATAGTATAGTGGTTAGTAGTAGTGGTTAGTAGTAGTGGTTAGTAGTAGGGAGTAAGTGGGAGTGGGTAGTAGTAGGTAGTAGGTAGTAGGTAGCAGGTAGGAGGCAGTAGGTAGTAGGTAGTTAGTAGTTAGTAATAGTTTGTAGTAGCTAGTAGTTAGTAGTAGTAAAGTAGTTAGTAGTTGTTAGTAGTTAGTACAGTAGTTGCTAATTCGAAGGTAGTAGGTAGCAGGTAGCAGGTAGCAGGTGGCAGGTAGCAGGTAGCAGTAGCAGTAGCAGAAGTAGTAGTAGTAGTTGTTGTTGTGGTGGTGGTAGTGGTAGTGGTAGTGGCAGTGGCAGTGGCAGTAGGAGTAGGAATAGGAGTAGGAGTACTAGTAGTAGTCGTAGTAGTAGTAGTAGCAGCAGCAGCAGTAGTAGTAGTGCTGCTAGCAGTAGCAGTAGTAGCAAGACGAAAAGGAGGAAGTGGAAGTTGTAGCAGTAGTAGTTATAGCGGCAATAGGGGTACTTGGCTGCCGCTGCCGATACAGCTCCGCTTAAAGTCTTTAAGCGCCGGCTAATACCGCCGGTTAACGACAAGGACATCATTTGACAAGGTTGTGCCATCCGCTTTGTAGAGAGGCCCTATTAGAGGGGACAATCGCTTTTTCAAGGCCCAGCGACACATTCAACACAATCACACCAAACTGCTTTCAAATCATTCCATTTGACGGATGCCTATCGTTCTTTTACAGCTGTCAGAAAGATTGCTTAATACTCTTGTCACGTATCACTGATATTTATCAACGCAAGACTGCAAGACTGAGAACACATCGGACCAAATTGCCGGTGAAAAAAGCCGGCTCAGTGCCACTACAGTTTCCCGTCAGACCACCCGTGCCCCGTCCGGCCTTCTCCTTCCACGTGCGCACCACCCAGATCAATCCTCAGACAGAGGCTGACAGACTGTGATTCGGTGGAAGACTAATTACCCTGCCCTGCGACTTAAGTCCAAGCCCGCGAAAAGCATGGGATCCTTGAAAAGGATGTGTGGTGAGGGACTCGATCAGTTTCCTTTTGGGTGTCTTGCATCACCGACTGTTCCCCCCACACACATGGTCCAGCGCACAACTCTTGGCTGAGTCTTCGCACACGTCAGCCACGTCAATCTCAGACATGGTAGAAGATAGCAAGAATGTTTCACACTTTGGCCTTTGGCTGTGTGTCAGTCCCAAACATACCCGTTTAGTTTAGTACGCCTGTCTGTCCACTTTCTTGCAGGCGCTGATGACTCGTTCGGGTGCAAGTAGTCCCACCATCTGGGGCTTGCTCCGGCGCCCCAAACATGAAAAGATCTAGGACATCATGTGTCCCTATATGTGCCTATGGTTCGTCTCTGGAATAGGGACCGCTGCGCTTGTCTTCTCCACGCCAGTCCGCCGGCGTCATCATGTGTTCATGTCATCTTATGCCTTTAGCCCAAGAGGCGCTCCATGTCTATAGAACATCGATCTGTCTCTTGCGCGGGCACCATGCCCGTGGGGCAAGAGGCGTTCCTAGGCCGAAGCAAAGTTCTTCTGCTGCCAAAAGCTTTGGGACCAAAAGCAAAGTTAACCCCGTTTACAACACTTCCGAAGCAAAGCTTCTTCTGCTTCCAATGCGTTTACAACACTAAGTTAAAGGGTTTCTGACAGACAAAACCATAGGAGGTTCCCTGTGACCGCCCGGGACCTGAAATTGGTGAGACCGCAGCGGGGCGACTCGGTGATTTCGGTCTGTGGAATGGGCGTTCCCGCTGTCTGTGGGCTCAAGGCATGGAATGCCCAGACCGTCTGTGCTGTGAGCAGAGCGAACAACGGGTCCAAAAAGTGGAACTTGATCCTGGAACCATCTGGAACCCTATATTTCAATCGGTTTTTCCTACCCGTTTGTCCGCGAAGAATCTACTATAGACTACACAGTGAAACAACGGCTTCTAGATTGGGAGGGCTGCAGGATCTATGGTTCCAATCGGAAGTTTGGTGGGATTCACAGAGCGTCCAAAATTCCAGGCCGAGCTGCCCAAAAGGATTCCAGCGAGAGGTCTTCTTGAACCTCACTCTTGGCCCACTGCTGCCGTGTAATCAGGCTTGTCTGTGATCCTTTTCACAAGGATTCCCACGGAATTCCCACGAATTGTCCACAGGTCACCTCAACGTGAAGGCCTTCGGTTGTTCACGCTCCCCGAGGTCTCGGAACGGTTCACGCCTCCCGGGGGTCACCGGTCTTTGGGTGCGGTCCACCTTGGGGATACGCTTTGGGGAGACGCTTCTGGTTGGTCAGATGTATAGGCTTTCCAAATTTGGAAAAACCCTTTGATTTGTATTCTAGAGGGGGTTTGACTAGATCCTGATGTTTGATTCACCAGACACGACCCTCCTCAGGGCGTTGATGCGGAAGTCTATCCATGGCAAGACACTAGTACAAGCGGCTAAATCCCTGTCCCATGGTTGTAAGATGGTAAGGAAGACTCCACCAGCCCTACCCCGTCTTCGTGTTAAACGTGATTGAAACGATGTAGAAAACTGTGGGGCTCATTATCTACCAGCCTGCCAGCCTAGCGGAAGACCTGCCAAAAAAGCGCCACCATGCTCAACATTCCCGGAGCAATCCAAGCAGCTGGTATTCTTTGTAGAAGTTGTTGAGCCTCTTTTCAGCGCGCTTCAGGTACTTGTAGCTCAAGACAATCTTCTTTTTTGTGAGCTGGACACGGGTGTCGCAGCCATAGTGGCGAGTAAGTTTCCTTACGCACTTGGGAGTTCACTGACAAAATTCATGCTTGAGTGTGAAAGAGAGGGCTCAGCTCTGGCATTTCAACCGCACCCCGTGTTTTAATTGTTCACAGAAACCGTTGGAGGGCAAGTTTCAAAGGCTGAACATGCCTTTCCAGGCTGGTGTTTTCAGCGGCCCTTTTCAAAAGCCACACAGTTTCTTTGGCGGCATGGCTTGTGGGGCAACCGGAAACCGGGTTTCACCGACCGGTTGACCTACTTACCGGTCTCGTACGTCGGCAATGGTCGGACTGGTCGGGCCCGACCCTCCACGCAAGGCGACCAGTCTCATCACCGTGCCCGGCGAGAGCGCCACTAGTATCCGTGACGCGACGGTCCTGGTGCGCTTCACTTTGAGCCACTGAACTCAGCGGGTTCAGATCAACGGTGGTGATCTGGCCGTTTGCTGACACCGTGGCTCGCACCAAAAAGACGATAGCGCCACGCCACGTGTAGATCATTGTAGATCCTGAAAGCATGTGAAAGCTCCGCCAAGCTGCAACAAATTCGGCCTGCTTGGAGATGAATCCAACGCAAAAATTCACCAAACTGCCTTTGACGGAAAGCCCCCACCACCGATGAAACCATCTGCCAATTCCGTCTGCCAAGTTCATTCTGACCCGCAGCCTGCACAATAGTGATTTGTCAGCCCAGGAGATCGGCATCACCTGAATTGCATGGTGCCTGTAAACAGCGACCGCTCACAGCGGTTACAGCGACGTGGAGAGGCCCCGTGCGTCCTCGCCCCCGGCGATCCTCCAGCGAGCCGTTGCGCCAGAGACTCACGGCCAAGAAACCCACCGAGGTCCTTGCCGAAGCTGAGCTCGGATCAACCTCTGCTCCACGAGCAGCTTGGCCTGGACTTCACCACAGCTCGGGCACGCGTGTTCCGGCATCAGCACACTTTGCAGGACCGGTCAATGGAACGATTCGACACCGCAGGTGAGACGCGGGGTCACGAGCGCCGCCTTCAAGACCTCCGCGGCGAGGACCGCCCGATCTGGAATCGCTTGCGCCGTGGCGATGGTTCAGAAGGCGCTTGGCTCATCGTTGCTCGAAGCCCAAACATGGCCATTGGCACAAAAACTTTGCCCTATACCCAAGGAACAGCACTGCAGAGTTTTACCCCGCAGGTGGGTGCTGGTTTACCTCGACTGGCCACACACGTGTGCATAAATCAGTCGTTCGATCGACAACCCAACAGGGTGGCGGTGGCAATACGTAAGTATGCTGAAGCAAGGGTTGGGGAAGGACAAAGTCTAGTAGTCGAAAGGCTGCTACAACAAGTTGAACGGTGGATTGTCCCCTCGGTTGCTCGCTTACATATATATATATATATATATTATATAGAGACGTCTCCGAAGCCAGGCTAGGCCATGTTGAAAATACCGTTCATTTGGAAGCTCTAGTTTGGGTACAGTATATCCTATTCCCTGTAACAGTGGATGATGGTGGTTAGCAAAGGCCTTTCTCTACAATATTAGTGATGATTGTTTACTGACTGTTTTAGGATGTTTTAGGTAATGGAACACCCCCAAGCTGTAGTGAGCATCAGTGGGCTCTGGTCTGCTCCCAGTCGATCCTGATCCCACATTTCGTGGTCTACGACTCGTGGCCGACGAAAGATTGCCACATGCTTTCCCTAGGTCTAGGGGGCATGAGTTCTGCTTGGGGATCCTCTTACGTCATGTTTTCCATTGTTTTCCTTGTTTTGCTGCGCTCCGGAACTTCGAACGAGCACCCGATGTCGGGAGATCCCGAGATCCCGAGCACCCGACCCGTCGAACGGCACGCCAAGCATCAGCGCATAGTGACAGTCTTGGTAATAGCGACCTCTATTCCAGCCCTTCCGAGTGCCGCTCTGGTCCTTGAAAAAACGAGGAAAACCTCCATGCCAAGACGTCATGTGGGTTCTTGATTCTATGTCAACCCTTCACAGAAAGAGGTTATACAATCCAAATGAGGATTCTGTGAATGCGTTATGACCATGATCAGTCAGTTGGAAAGCTGCTCTCAGCCACTCCCACTTGTGGGGCATACCACATCAACCTGTAAACCTACAAGTCACAAGAACAACACCTGCTTCAGATTGCGGGCCCTGCGGAGAATGGGACCTCCCCTTGGTTAGGTAGGAAAATACATCGAAATCGAACCAAGATGGCGTGCCCCTCCACTTTGGTTTAAAGCGTGCACCTCCCAGCTGGTGGCGCTGCAGGGCATTCGGGCCTGTGGATTCGTAGAGAGTCTTCATTAAGGTTGTGAGTGGCTTCAGTGGCGCCTGGTTCCAGATTCGGTGACTGCTCGATTGGAGTGTAGTGCCACATGGCTTGCACGTGAAAGAAGATGACGGTGGAATCCTTTCAGGTCACTTGGTCGGGCTCACAGCCTTGCTTTCGATGCTGGGAGTTGGCACCCAAGTGGAGTGAGGTCTGAGCTTGCGCGAGTAGGGGCATGGACGGAAGCTTCTTTGTGAACTGAGCTTTACTTCCTCTTTCCTGGATTGTGATATCGATGTCATCAAGATCCTTCAGAAGAAATTCCGATTTCCTGTTGTCACGACAAGTGAGTTCCTTGAGCAGGCCCTTTCCTTAAAGGTGAGGTTTTTCCCAGAGGTCCTTTATGGAGTGGGGGCGGCAGGGAGAAAGGGCCTGGGCTGTGATGATGGTCGTGTTTTCCTTGACATGATCACTTTGGCCAGTAGGTGTGGCATGCAGTGCTTGTCCGTAGAGAAAGTGCCAGGGACTTCGAAGAGATCGCGTCCAAGGCCAAGAGCTTAAACCTGGAACTGGAACTGGAACTGAGATTGGAAGGTGTCTTTGATACCAAACTCGTATGTCCCCTCAGTCAAAAACGGTGGATTGGCAATTTCATCAGTGCTAAGGTTTCCATTTCAAGCTCAGCTGTTGATGGAGCAAGACGTCCCAACTGTGGACTCTGCCGCTCTTATGGAGGGCCTAGTGTGGCTGAGGCCAACGCCATTCATGTTCACATGACTGAGGCTGAACGTTTGGCCCTTGTTCCTGACCCAGAAGCACTGAGGCTGCTCTCGAAGGCAAAGTTGCTGCCCACAGTGCAACAAGATCGCATGCGCATGTCAGAAAATGAAGTCCTTCAGTCTAGGATCAGGTCCTTTCACATGCCTTTGTGCGGGCTGATGGCCGCATCTTCTCATGGCCGCATATTCTCGCCACCGATCGACGTGCTGCGGGAGAAAGGCCTTTCAGACTTCTTGAGTCTGCCCTGATCAGATGATTCGGTACTATTCCCCATTGGAGATCTTGGCTGCAGGCACGTCTACCTCTGTCTAATGAGGTCGCATTGATGGCAGGCAATGGCTGCCATTGGGCACGTCCTCTGCAAGGTGTTTGGCTCGTCATCATCCGCTGGTGCTTGGCTGGCGATGTCCACCTCTGTCAGCAACGTGGTCAGCTCATGCGGTCGGGCGTCTCCCACCACCGGTGCTTTGTGATGGTTCTTTCGGTGCGAATGGAAGCCGCGCAAACAAGAGCTTCTCCTTCTCCAAAAGGGCCCGCTTTAGTTGTACAAGGGTTGGAGGTTTCGCCCACAGTTCCTTACGAACCAGTAGAATCGGTAAGGTTGAGTGGATTGCAAGAGGGGGCGGATTTCCTGCGTCCCTTTTCCATTTCGACCAACTTGCAGATTGCTGAGGCTGAGTGTGAAGGTGGCATTGTCATTGTGAAGCACTGCAATAATGGGTGGGTTGCATGTGTTCATGGACCCACTAAGGATGCTGTTCAGACCTTGGTTCGAAATGCCATTGCAGCCGAGAGTGATTTGCTTTCAGGTTCGGGGAAGCACCGTTTTCTGGGACACGGTGGTGCTGTGCCGCGAGCTGGTGTTCAATCCTGTCATCGTGCACATCAGGTGATTTTGCTCCAAGCCAGCTCAACAATGGGATGTTTCGGTTGACGTTCCACTCTGAGATGCTTTTTGGCCAGTTTGATCAGGGCGCCAGGGGAATCTGTCTTGCTTCAGAAGGGTCTGACTGTCTTTCCCCTGGAGAATTTTCGGGGAGCCACCGAGGGCCGATTTGTCATGCAGGTTGCCTACAATGTGAGACCGATCGGCAGGTGTGGTGATCGTGACGTTGGACTGAGAACTACGGACAATAGTCATGTTCGCATCACTGCAAGACATCCCAATCACAAGGTGATTTGCACTATCACTGGTTCCCGTAGTGACAATTGCTTTGGAGTTGTGTCTCCATTATTTCCTGATGTGTGCCTCGCAAAAATGGACTTGTGAAAGAGAAGGCACAGTCTTGACCGCCAGTGACACTGTTGAGCTGATGCTTCAAGGCAAAACCAGGTCCTTCAACGTAGCTTGGGACACTAAGGCACCATATCGTCGCACAGTTCCTCGGATCTTACCGATTCACCGATGCAGGAAGCAGACCACCGATGTGTTCGCATCCTGAAGCTGGCAACATCACACCGAGATCGGCCTGGATTCGGTCGCCATGGTCTATCTCAAGGTGCCTGCAGGCCTGGATTTAGGTGAGATTGGAGCCTCTTTTCTCGCTAAAACTCAGGTTGCAACCAGCCTCACTGTGCATTGAGGGAGTACTTTGATGGACCCATTGATTCAGATTCACGAAATCGGTTTGGCTGGCACCTTGTCCGACAAGTTGGCATCCCTCTTTCAGGTGGTGTTCAGTCACAGTGTCACAGGAATCAGTGCATGTTCTTTCGCCTGAGGACCTTGTGATATGAATCATCCATTTGGCCGAGTCCAGGACCATCCTGAGGACGGTCGAACGGAGGTGAGTGAAAGTACGAAACCTGAGAATGGTCGTTGCCTGGGGCCTGGCAGGACATCCGAGCAACGGATGGTCCTGGACCCTCAGGGTGGGGTCTCCCTGCCTTTCGATCCATTGAGCAAGTTGGATTGGTCTCTCCGGCCACATTTTCCAGGGGAGGTTTGGTGACATTTGTCCATGAGAATCGTTGCTGGGCCATGAATTAGCTCCAGGCTAACTGGCTGGAGGTCTTCATCAATCTTTGATGAACACTATGCCTCATGCCTCGGGAAGAGCATTTCATCCGGTTTTGGAACCACGAACGCGGTCAGATATTGTGGATGCCGCATCGTGTCATCCAGTAACCTTCAGGTTCTGCGGTGCATGTCCATTTCAGGGACTGAAAAGTGGGATCATCGGTTTGCTGTCACCTGGACGGTGGGATCCCTGGTCTCAGGTTGCCTAATGGACTCAAGTGTATTCATGATTACTTTGGAATTGACCGTTGACGGATTGCCAACTAGGTTTAACGACTTCCTGGTTGAGTGTGGTTCCACAAGCTTTGAACTGGTCTTCAAATCGGAAATGCCGTCTTGTGTGTGTGTGTTTTGATCAAACTACGCAGGTTGCACAGCCTTTGAAGCACTTCCGGAAGAACCTCTATCTCAAGGTTCGCCCAGCATTGACCCTTTTTGAAAAAACAAAGTCCTGTTGTGTTGTGTTGAGGGCAATGCTGATTTGCAAGATGTGGTCATAGATCATTGTTTCCGTAGATCAGGGATGAACACTTCCAAGGGTATCTTCATGATCGGTACCCCATTGATCATTGCGTGCCGTTGGTGGAGCACACGGATTGGCAGAATGGTCACTTTCAGTTCTCCTTCACGGTTTCCAAGACGTCACCTGTGCACCAAAGAACTTGATTTGCACTGGGGAGTTGCTGAGGTCTTCAGTGGAGTTGAACGAAGTGAGGGCATTCCCGATTCGCAGCCCCTTTCATGCCAAGCCTACGGTATTGTTCGTTCCCAGACAGGTGGACTCTGACTCTGACCCGTGCTGCTGTTTGCATTTTCAGGCATGTCAATGTGTGAGATTCCGTGCCTGATCTTGGCTGGATCCGATTTGGTTGATGATTGCAGAAGAATGGTTCAAAGTGTTGGGAAGAATGAATTTCTCGCCTTTCGGTGTTCCTTTGAAGGGTGGTGCCAAGAGTGATATTCGGGAGAAAATCAAGACCCTTTTGCTCAAAAAGGGTGTGTAAATTGATGTGGTTGACTCTCGAATCAGTGGCTTTACAGTAGTGCCAAGTGTCCTTTGGTGCGCTTCAAGAATCTTGATGACAACGCACTGTGGGACGCCCTGTGCCAGCTAGCTGCCAAAGCTGGCTACTTTTCGATTGGTCCAGCGTGGGTTGAGGAACAGAAAGCGGTCTTTCGAAACCACCTTCTTCCTTCCGAAGTCAGGCATACGGGATTCAAGAGTGAGAGTGGGAGCACGGGTGATCATACTCCCCATTCGTGAGATCGTGGGAGCACGTGTCCTACTTTCAAATGGATATCAGAAAGCAACACAGCTTGAGGTATCTTTGTTCGACAGGGACAAAAGTGGATAGGAAATGATGTGGGTCTGAAACATTATACCATATGTGACATATGTGGGTGTGAAATCCTTTTCTGCCAATGCATTGGCCATCCTTGTGGTTGATGATGCTGATCTTTCTGGGTTTGGTCCGGAGGACATTGTCACCATTCCAGCTCACACTAAGGATTCCAAACCGATCGTGCTGAAGGCTGCCTTGGTTCACTGTGGGGATAAGAACATCACATGTGTGGTTGAGGTGCCAAAGATGGAAGTCAATGCTGTGTCAGCATCTGTCATTAAGTTCACAAGTGAACGTGCCTTGGTCACCAAGTGGGACGATGCCGCGATCCCTTTGCACCAAGGAACCAACATTCCCACTCTTCCTACTGCCACTCTGGCTATCTGGGCGATCAAATGTCTGAGTCACAAACAGGATCCCCATTCAAAGCCACGGAATGGCACGGCTTTTTCCGCATCCCAGATTGCATTTTGCCTGATGTTTTGACCCAATCAGGTACTGGTGGCAT